ACCTTAATGTTCCGTCCAAATAAGGTCGATGCACGCCGTTGACTGGTTGCCTACACTTATGGAAGTTGCCGGAGCAAAGCGAGGTAAGGAGTGAGCCATCAATTTTTAAAAATCTTCTGAAACCAGTTATCCTTAAAATCAGGAATGCATTCAACAAAAACCTGATTATTTTAAGCAATGCCAAGTCGTCAAAAATAAACAGGATGCATTTCCCCATCTCGTAGGGCAGGCCTGCACAACACAAAATGTAAGGCGTGTCGTAATACTTTATTAAAAAAACTTGTGCGGGCCATAATACTCAATGAAAAACTTGTGCTGGCCATAATACTCAATGAAAAACTTGTGCTGGCCATAATACTCAATGAAAAACTTGTGCTGGCCATAATACTCAATGAAAAACTTGTGCTGGCCATAATACTCAATGAAAAGCTTGTGCTGGCCATAATACTCAATGAAAAGCTTGTGCTGGCCATAATACTCAATGAAAAACTTGTGCTGGCCATAATACTCAATGAAAAACTTGTGCTGGCCATAATACTCAATGAAAAGCTTGTGCGGGCCATAATACTCAATGAAAAGCTTGTGCTGGCCATAATACTCAATGAAAAGCTTGTGCTGGCCATAATACTCAATGAAAAACTTGTGCTGGCCATAATACTCAATGAAAAACTTGTGCGGGCCATAATACTCAATGAAAAGCTTGTGCGGGCCATAATACTCAATGAAAAGCTTGTGCTGGCCGAAAGATGATAGGACAAGGGGGAAAGCTATTAAGAAAATAATAACAATGAAGAATATTTCGTTACTTCGCGGGCCGCCAAGTGGGTGCTGGCGGGCCACATGCGGCCCGCGGGCCGTATGTTGTGCAGACCTGCCGTAGGGAATTGGGTAAATTTAAGGCCAAATTAAAAAAAACCCAACAAAACCCAAAATGTTTACTGAAGAAATACACACCCCTTCACTCAAGCGGAAGTCTGTATCAGCTGTGCAGGTGTTTGATGTTTGCTAAAAAAAAAATACCAAACAATTTTAACAAAAACAAAAACATAAAGTCTAAAATATAGAATAAAATGTATTTTGTTTGCTTCGCAATCTTATAAGTATTTAACTCATATTTCTTTATTTTAATGTAGTTAAAATGATAAATTTAAATTGGCTGTTTTAATTATATATATATATATAT